CAGGCAGTGCTGGCGCTGCCGATGAGCTGGCGCTCCCAGATGCCTCGCCCTTCTCGCGAATGTCGAAGTACTGGCATCCACTGATCGTGGGAGCCGCCCCTGATGGATGCCTGAGGTAGTTTCCAACACCTTGCACTTAGCACCGTCCTCAGATGAAGAGGCATCCTTGGATGGCCCCCCCCAGCGACGGCGCCCAGCCTGCCCCGCGAGTTTTGCCAGGCGTCGGGCCGCGCCGACATGCAGGGCCCTGGGGTGCAGGCGCGCTGTCGCCCTGGAACGCCGCTGCTGCGGCGGCCACTTCTGGCCCTCAGGGGCGATGTCCCTTAGCGGGTTCCCCCGCGATAGGCTGAGACTTCCTGCTACCAGGATTGGCATCACCCGGACTGGCCCTCTTCCTCTGCTCGGGCGGCGGGGCAGGCTGGTCGGGCTCGAGCGACTTGCGCGGGCTTGATGAGCACGAAGATGGGGATCGGTATATGCCCTTTCTTTCCTGGTTTCAATTTGGGAGGAGGCCCCCTTCGACTGCTCCGCCGCGGGCGCCCCCGCCGAAGAGCGTCTGGCCCTACTCCCAGCGCCAGGGGCAGCCGGCTGAACGGGCCTTCCGAGTGCCACGTTCTCGATATTGACCTTACTTCTGCAACCCAAAACACATTTATCAGTTGCAACCTTTTTCGCAATATGGGGCTGGTATCCAACCTGCCCCTTCACCGTGGCATGCGATTTTCATGCCTGGGGGGAGATCCATATCTTCTGTAATATTGTCGCGATCCTCTATTATTGCGCCCGCGTCGGAGGCGCAGGCCGAGTCGGGGCAGCGCGAGCCAGCCCGCGAAGGAGCGGCCTCGGCGGGGCCCACTGCTTCGGCAAAGACCAGGTTGCCAGCCCCTTTTCATCGCTTCCTGGATGGCAAGCACCCTCTCGCTTGGAAGAAGCGGGCTGCCCCGCGCGACGCTCTCGATCATATGCATCAAGGTAACGATTCGGCGCAAGGTGCTCCCAGATCCATTCGGTCCGAGCTCTCTCCTCCTCAGCAACAGGCTGGTAGTCGGCTTCCGTCAAACATTCCTCGGGCGGGCGATCGGTCGGATCCACGCTGCGACCCAGACCGTCACCGAGGGGCCAGACTCATGGGGTTCTTTTTAAAATAGGGCTCCGTGACGGACGCCTCATCGGGCAACCATGTCTGCGATCGGCAAGATATTCGCGAGTAAAGACAAAACCCAGCATTCCTTCCGGTCGTTGATGATGGCCCTCTCGAGGCCCCGTTTCTGGAGGCTCTCCGGCGCCTCGGCGCCCGCGCCTCTGTTGGCGCGGGCGATCTTACTTTATCATTCCACTCAACTTCATAAAGTGAATACCAATGCCGGATGTCGTGCTCGGCCCATCATAGCTGACAAGGCGCCGCGCGCCCCCTGCCTTGGACGCGGCTGGGCGGATTTCCCCCTGTGGCGGGCCCCCCCGCAAGCGCTCCCGGCGCGGTCTGCGATCCCTCCTCGGCGGGGCCCTCGGGGCCTTCACGTCTGGGGGGTGAAGGGGCCGGGCGCCGATGGAGCGAGCGCCGCTGCAGCGCGCGCGAGCGCCCGCGTGAGTGGCTGCGGGCGCGACCGCGACGCCGCATGCGCCGGCCCTCCGCTTCCCACTCGTCTTTGTCATCATCTGAGCGATTCGCGCGGTTCCAGACTTGGCGGCCAATTGATCGCCCATGGCGGCTCGGAGATCGCCCCATGGCCACGAACGTAACACGATGATCTTCACCATGTCCAAGTTCGCACTGGATGCGCTCCGAAAGGTCGCCAGCATCTCGTGGGCTTCTTGCAAAAGATCATCGTCATATACTTCCATGTTTGTCGGGTTGCCAATGGCCTGAAGACGAAGCATCATTTGCATTTCCCTTTTCTGTCGCTGGGACTGCGGCTTCATAATCCGCGGGTACCCCCGCCATACCGTGATCTACATCGGCGGGCGGATGGAAATCCTGAACAAATTCGACCTGTGCAGTTTGCCCCGCGATGGGCATTCCTCGCCAGTCTGCCAGGTTGATCTCACAATGGCCAACGCATATCTCCTCGAGGAGCTCGTCGGCGCAATTCTCGAGGGACACGCCGGCACTTAGATATCTGGCAGCCGCGAAGTTGACAACTGCAGTAAGGTTGTCGGCATGGTCGGCCAATAGCGTTTCCCAGTCGACATACTGCATGTCCGAATCGGCTTGAGCCACATGCATCGACGCACCCCTGCCCCCCCCATCGCCGCGGGGGCCTTCGCGGCGGAAATGTTGCGTGCTGTGGCAGATGTCACATTCCATTGTTTTACCGTTTGCACCTTTCGGGTTGCCCCGGCGCCCCCCACCTTTTTCCCGAGGTGCACCTGCGACCCCTGCCTGCGCTCAGGAGCAGTCTTTCATACTATGGTCCAGTAAGAGATGCCAGGAACGCTAACATACCTTCGTTTGCCCTTTACCCTTGCCTCGACCCTTACCCCTTCCCCTAGGTGCCCGTCGGATAGCACGTCGTACCTTGCGAATTGGTTTCGTCATAAGCCGTGTCCATCTGCGCTTATGCTTATGATATCTCAGAAACAGCCATTGAGCCCGTTGTTCTTCCGTAAGATACGTGGGCATATCGGAATAGTCTAGGGCATTCGTTTCGTCGTCTGATGACGCGTCGGCGTCGGTTCCGGAGTCGAAGTCAGACTGAGCGGCCTGCCCCGTTGAGCCGACAAGGGTAGCGGCTTGCGCAGGGGCCGCCGTTGCCAACGGCCCCTGATATCTGGCCCAGGAGTCTCGCGACCCCGTAGCCGGACCACCACTTTGGGCTAATAGCGCGGTGGTCTCCGTTAGTTGCGGATCGCCATTCCAAACGCTTGTAGCAAGCTGCCCTGCATTAGCTTCAGCATGAAAAGTCTCGGCACGGTGACCGCGGCTGAAGATGCCACCAATATTGCCAGGGGTTCGCTCAGCGATGTGAGCATATGACCTCATGCGTTCAAGCAGAGAATAAAATTGCCATTGGTTCCTCGGCATTTGGTGGTTGAGTGGCTGTAGGAGTTGCTGTGCACGCGACGCCCCCACTCCTAACGTTTTGAACCAAATAACAGCTATGATTTTGAAGTTGGGGATGTTAAAGCCCGCCGCTTCGCCTCATAGCGGGCTATCTCGAAGCGTACCTATGTCTGGTCGATCTGTTCTCCCGCATGGACTCGGGAGTCGATGAGAGCAGTTCCCCCATTAAGTTGGCGCTCATCCTCTAAGTTCTCAAACTTCGCGCTAAGGAGGAACATGCTGTGGGTGACACCATCAACTTGACGGCCACCAACGTTGACGCCAAGGTTAACAACTGCGGGGGAGGGGCTCTCATGGCAATGGCCCGCGCGAGGCCTCCCAGACAACGCTGCAGAGGTGCAGCTTGCTGGGAGAGCGTCATTGAGCCTGTGGCCACGATGATCCAGGCACGTACCTCTCGAACAAATTTACGGAAAGGTACTTGACCGGCTGGGCCCCAGCGGGGGCCGGTTGTTTTTGCGTCGCCTCCGCCACGCATGTGCCCCACAGCACACCCGATACCAACCCGCACGAGACCAAAGATAGCAATACCAATCCAATGGCCCCGTAGGTCGTGGTCGGACGTTGGTGGCTGAGGTTTGTGGCGTTTTGCTGTAAGTCTGCGCGGGGGCGGAGGCGGCACAATATCGTATCGCATGTTGCCATGCATTGTATATTCCCAAGTGGAGTAGGTGGGTGGATTTCAGGAATGTAGTAGCGCAGGGATGTAGGACTCGAGTAAGAGGCCTCCGCGAGAGCAGTGGTAGCACTGCACATATCCTTGCGGCTATGCGTAATTACGCATATCCATCCGTGCAGAACCACTGAACCCTGATGTTCCACCATGTCAGTAGTAGACCAGATAGTTCCGTGGATGGTGGGGGGTAGAACGAGAACTGACCACCTTAGGCCAGCTCCGCTACCAAGTTTGAGGGGGCCGGGGGCCCGTCCAAAAGCTTCGCCCTAAGCGAAGCGCAGCTCCAGCTCTGTTGTATCGTAGTAACGATTGTCCCAGTCGGAGGAGGTCGTCGCGGGAGCGACGGGCCATCTCAGGCGAAGGATGTTTTCGGTCTCGATGGCAAGTAGTATGCCTCGCAATGAGGCGCAATCATATGTTGGCGGCCGGTCGCTTGAACACAAACGGCCGCGGACAAACGCTCGGTATCTCTCGCCCTTGTCCCAGCTCACTTTGGAGTCCCCCTCATCCCGGTCACACTCCGCTGCGTGAATCTCCCCCCCCTCGTGAGGATCCCTGGGCATCCCCCCACCTTCCTGGTGCTCTCCAAGCCTTCCCACATGTCCAAGATGGCTTCCAAGGCGGCTCGGGGGGGCCACCGAGGCCGCCAAAATTGCCTCAAATGGCCCCAAGATGGCTCAAAATGGTCTCGAGGCGGCCCAGGAGGCCTCCAAGACGGCACAAAGTGGGCGTCCAAGCGGATACCCAGACCGAGGAAGCCAAAACCATCTATGCTCCTTAGGTTTTGAACGAATTTCGCATGCTCCCCTTGTCGGGATTCCGATAGCTCAAGACGGCCCCAGCAGCCTCCAAGACAGCCTTCAGACAGCCCAAGAGGACGCCCAAATGGCCAGATCATCCGCCAAGACAGCCTCAAGACAGTGTATAGAGCCCCTAGACGGCTCATGACGGCCCAGAGAGAGCCCCAATAGAGCCCCTCGACGGCCCAAAGACATCCCCACAACGGCCCCACATGACAGCCAAAAATTGGCCCAAGGCAGCCTCAAGACTGCTCCACAGGAGCCCAAGAAAGACGAGTAGAAAGGCAGGAAGACGACGAAGACGAGAAAAGAACCCCCGCCAAGACGCGGCGCGGAAGAGTGTATCACATGCTACGGATCTCAAAAGCCTTGAGACACGAGGTGTCACACGTTACGGCATCCTGTGCGCCCCCGCCACCTAAGGTGCTGGGCTGGCACGGTGACGAGATTTGCCGCAGGCAGCTGGATAACCCTCCGACACTGTAGCCAGCACGCCCAAGGTGCTTCACGTAGAAGTTCAAGTACTGAATGCCCTTCCGCGTGAGTCCATGAGCAATCTTTATCTCTACCTTCCCGAACTTTGTCCAGTTGAGGTTTCTGTCGCTCGCATCCTGAGCACGGAAGCGGAGACCACCGATCTGCATCGCGTCCACCCACCCCCCTGTGATATTCAGATCCTGGAAGTACATATCTGCACATGATCCCCCCAATCGGCTTGCATCGGCCTCTACATGAAGCAGCGCCTTCTCCATCCCCCGTGGAATATGAATCAAGACATGCCTGCCAGGCCTCATCAAGTCGAACCGCTCACCATGGATGTTTTGCAAATGCGGATCACCAACGGCAGCCGCGGCTCCAGTGGAGATTCCAGCCGTAGACGTCGTTCCCGCAGATGTCGCAGACGTCGATCCAGCAGATGTTGGAGCCGACGAAGCGCCAAACGTCCCCGTAGATGACACGCCCGTCCAGCCGGCAGATGTTCCGCCGCCAGATGTTCCGCCGCCAGATGTTCCAATCCCGGGAACAATTCCGCCGAAGCCCGGAATCATCATCCACATCTTGGGAATGGGCATCGTGATCCAACTCTGGTCCCCGTTCGGGTACAGCCACGCGTGCTCGAGGTAGCATTCCCCCAGCGGCGAGGTGCTCGAGCCAGGAGCTCGAAAAGTGGCCCCGGCCGCGGTCGGGTCGGTGTTCAGGACCAGCTGCAGGCACTCCTGGCAGGTAGCCACCGTGCCGAGGAACGTCTCGTTTCCGCCGCTGCCGTCTCCTGCCAGCGCGCACGGTGGGGGCAGGAGCGTTGCAATTTTTGTTGCGTTTACGCCAGGTCTCGGGCCCTGGGTCCATCACATATCCATCCGGCTCGAAGAATGCCGCGGACAAGTGGGGTCTAGTGTTCCAGTTACATTGTATCGCCACCCTGCGTCTTTTTCAGAACGTCAGATCTCAGGACATACGACTCAGCGTAAAGGAGGCCTCCCAGGAGCGGCACGTCACGCTCCTCAGAAGGCCTCCTGCCCTGTGACAGGGCACCTGTCCGACGCCTCCGACCCACCCCTTCGGGTAGACGCCGCCTCCTCGACAGGAAGACATAGTTCTTCGCCAGATCATCGAAATGCTATGACGAATGAACGCGTTTTTTGCTCCGATCGCCTAACCGTGGGGATCCCCTCATGCGGATATTGCTGACGGATGGGCCCGTACCGATGTCGTCAACACAGCTGCAATGTTCTGTCGATCAGATGTGAAATTACACGGGCGAAAGACCAAACCATTTGCAGTTGTGAACACCGCAGTTGTAGGTATCGTCTTCGGTGGAGCCCCCCTTGCAGCACCACGATTTTCTGGGTGTGGGGGACGCATGCGGGCACCCCCACTGGAGCCTTCGGTGGAGCTCCCTATGGGGCCACTGGCGGACGCATGCGGGCACCCCCACTGGAGTCTTCGGTGGAACTCCCTGAGGGGCCACGAGACGCTGTATTGGGTGCGGCAGACGCATGCGGGCACCCCCACTGGAGCCTTCGATGGAGTTCCCTATGGCGCCACGAAACGCTGCACTGGGTGTGGCGGGCGCACGCGGGGACCCCCACTGGAGCCTTCGGTGGAGCTCCCTGTAAGGCCACGAAACGCTGTACTGGGTGTGGCGGACGCGCGCGGGCACCCCCATTGGTGCTTTCGATGAGGCTCCCTATGGGGCCACGGAACGCTGTAGTGGGTGTGGCGGACGCATGCGGGCATCCCCACTGGGGCCTTCGGTGGAGCTCACTATGGAGCCACGAGACGCTGCACCGGGTGTGGCGGACGGATGCAAGCAACCCCACTGGAGCTTTCGGTGGAGCTTCCTGTGGGGCCACGGAACGCTGCATTGGGTGTGGCAGGTGCATGCGGGAAACCCCAGTGGGGCGTTCGGTGGACGTCCCTATAAGGCGACGAAACGCTGCACTGGGTGCGGCGGACGCACGCGGGCACCCCCACTGGCGCCTTCGATGGAGCTCCCGTCGGGGCCACGAAACACTGCACTTGGTGTGGCGGACGCATGCGGGGACCCCCACTGGCGCCTTCGATGGAGCTCCTTATGGGGCCACGAAACGCTGTCCTGGGCGCGGCGGACGCATGCGGGAACCCCCATTGGGGCCTTCGAGCGCCGTCGCCCGAGGGGAGCCGGCGGCGGCGGCAACGGTGCCAGTAGCAGCAGCAGCTGGCGAAGGCTTTTTCGTTCGCGAGCGTCGCGGTCCAGCCGCGCGCCGCCAGGAGAAAGGGCAGCCGCGCCAAGCTCGAAATTACGGCCTAAGAGAAAGCCCAAGCGACTGGAGCGCGCCGCGCAGTCACTCAGGCGGCGGAGACGACGGAGTAGCCCTGGAAGTCCGCACCAGGCCGTGGAGGTCCAAGAAGAGGGCCTCGATGCACACCAACATGGTGAATGAATTGGGACGCGTCCGAATCGATATAATAGGCCCAAGACTCCCGTCGCGCACGCGCTCGCCGCGTAGCGTGGCGAACAGCAGGCGAAAGTCGAAACGGAAGTCGCCGCCGCTGACCACCGTCGTAGACGCCCGAGCGCGTCGCTGCCAGCCGTCGCAGGCGGGGGCACGCGAAACGCCAAGAACTTCATTGGACAGAGCCCGCGGGCGCCACCGGCTCCCCAGGGTCACGCTGCGACCTCGTTCACCCCGAACTGCCTTTCCAGCTTCGACCCTCGCCCGCATGCCATGAAGTGTCATATCTGGCCCCGCTCGAACTCGCATGCCAAGCTGTCATCCCACTGGTTGCTCTCTGAAGCCCTCTTTCCATCGCCGCGATCAGCACGGCGCAGCCACCGATTGTCGTTCCGATCCAGCCTGAGCGTCGGCCCACCAACCGCTCGAGTCGCCCGGCGCATCTCCGCCACCACGGCCACCTTCATTGATCCGGCCACAGCCCTCACCTGTCGGGGGAACGCAGTGCCCCAAGAGGGGGAATCGCCCGAGCGACACGCGCGCGCTCCCGATTAGTTCCAAGCGCCGAATCTACTCCGCGTCCACGGCCACTTTCCGCAATTTCGGCCCTGACCCAGCGGCCGCCACGCCCGCGCGACCCCTGCCACCCGCGGCCTGAACCTGCGTCGCGGGCGGGCGGGCCGGCCGTCGCGGCAGCGCCGCGATCTCTAACACCCGCCGCCCCCCCTCCCCGATAGCCAGCCGCGCTCGACTCAGTCCGGGGGCCCACCTGGGCGCCGACGGCACGACGGGCGCGGGCGGAACAAATTCCTTACCAAATGTCGCGTATTCTTGTCGGCGCCAACTGCTGAGAGCATCCGCATCCAGCTACCTACAGATCTCTGATACTCCACCGCGCGGCCATTGCGCATCAGGGCGACCGCCACCGCGCTGAGCCTCATTCCGCACAGTCCGATGGCGCGCCCCACCTTCGCTCGAGCGCCCCGCGACGTCTCATCGTCGCCGAGCACCAAACCTCTGCCCCGGGAGCCAACAGCACCCTCATCGGCATTTCCAATTCCATGTCGAGACACCCAGCACGGCTTGGGCCCAGCATAGACGTGACTTCCAGAGCGCACCTGCTTCTCCACATCTCATCATGTCCTGCAGCAAAGAGCCCACATGTCTGGGGAGCAATTCCTCGATCTTTCCTCCCAAGTGTACCTCTTCAGGGTTGCCACGCTTCTTCGAGGCCTGAGTGATGGCGCACATAGTGCCGCGCACAATTCGGCCACCTGCACTGACTAGGGCCACCCCATCTCCGAAGGACCTGCGAGGCCAATTTTTACACACCACCACCGCCCGCAACAATAATTTACCGCAAAAAGGGCCAGCGTCTTGCCAGACGACGCCGTGACGCCACGGCGAAATGGAGCGCGGCGCAGCTCGCAGGCGCCGCGGCATGGGAGTTCCTGGAGCAGAATCAGCACTTCTTGGTGGTGGTGTATAAGAATCGCTCCTCTTGGTAACCAAAATTCTACACACCACCACCGCGCGTGCTTTGTTGAATTCTGTTTCGGTCCTTAAGAGAGAGGGGGGCAGCCCGTTTGCCGCTGGCGGCGGGAGGGGCGCTGCGGGCTTTTCACCAGAGCAAATCTGCACCAAATCGCATCGTAGATTATTATCGATCTTGATGGCGGTAGTCATATACTGCGCTCGGAAGACCATCCGCGCTATCACCGCAAGAGGATCCCCCGAGAAATGCAACTTGGCAACAGCCGCTGCCACGCTTTTCCTGACGCCACTTGCATTTCCCGGGCCTCAGCTGCCACCTGCGCACCAGACAGATATTCAATACGCAGAGCTGTCCTACCCCCTCCATAGAGAGACGGCCACGGAACAGCCACAGCCCAGCACTCAGGAACAAACGGGGTGCTTCAGCCGACTGTCAGACACAATATGTAGCTGAGTCTGATTGCGTTACTGTTACAGCATCGAAGGCCGCATCAGGCCCCCTCGCCTTGCGCGCGCTACTGGACCTGATTGCGGCATCCCTGCCCTGTTCGATCTTCTACAAAGAAGGCCACTGAAACTGCCCTGCCGCTCTTACCACTGGCTCGAAACTGAGCATCACACCTCGGCTTTCGGCCCGCGCAACCCACACCCGCCACCACAGGGCTCTACCAGGGCGCCGTAAACGAGGGATTGAAGATCAGGGATAACCGACGCGCACAGTTCTGGATACGAACGGAGCACGTCTGCGCTTTGAGTCGTTCCCGTCGCGTCAAAGGCACGAATGCAGGAACGCATCCTCGCCGCAAGTTCCCTGCCCTTTCCATGAGAGAAGGAGCGCGCCGAAAGCTTCCTCCCCTCGCATTCTGGCGCCCGGGCGAGGTGCACCATGGCCGCCGGGCCCTCGTAGCCCATCCCTCCACAAGCACGCGAGCACCTCGGCCCACGCGAATCTGTCGACAACATGCGGGGAACGTTTCTCTTCAAATCTGAGGGCTTCACCCTCGAGACACGATTGCTATTATCCTTGGGTTTCTCCTGCGCTGGACCCTCCGCCGGCGCGTCGCCCTCGGGGCCCACGCCCGCCTGACTACCGCCGGCATAGTCAGGGCCGCGGGCATGGCCCACCTCTGCGGCTCGCAAACCGTCCGAGATTAGGCCCGCCTTTCCGAATCCGCGGGGCGCGCGCCCCGAATGTAATTTGGTCGCGCCGGTCACACACCACGCACGGTTCGCCGGGCCTGAGAGCATGTCTCAGAAGCAAGCGTCCCCAATGAGTTGTTACCACTCTCTGCGAAGCAATGCTATGCAGCCCGTAAGTTTAATCGGGGGAGCGTCTGCCCAATTGCTTCCCGATCAAAGGTCTTGGGCTAAACCATGTACGCACCAGTACAGGGCAACACGAATGCCCTAGACGCTTCGGAAGACTCTGAACACTCTTTCGTAACTGTGGCGCCCAAGCGGACGAGCGATTGGCGCATGCGCTGATGTCGAAACTCACCCATTCTTCTGCTCCGCCCATATCCTACATACTCAAATTCGAGCAGCCATGGCAATCAAAAGCCCCGATCGTCTGGCACTCGGCCCCTCCGTCCCCCCTCCGTCTCTGGGCTGCGTTGCTTCACCGCTTTGGGCCAAGCCTCTCCGCCGCGTAAGAATCAAAGCAGTCGGCATCCCAATGGAGCAACATACCAGAGTTGGACTTGGGAAACTTGCTCATGCCGGACCTCACCAGGTCAACATATTCAGACATGGTGAATAACGCAGAGACAACCAATGATAATTGCACTCCCACCTTGCATAGGCACGCAGGCTTCCGCTGTCGCCGACGTCTTCAAAAGGA